TTTGTACACAGATTCAAATTTACAGAGTTCATCAATAGCAGGTATTAATAGTAATTCATCCAACCCTTAAGTAAAGTATAACAAATTGAAGTAAATAGTAGACTCATTTAAGCTGAAAAATTATTAATCACTGAACTGGATTTCTGCTTTTCGAAAACCACGTATATTCCACATAAACTGACATTCGTCGGTTTATTCGTGTATTGAATAATAAGCATACATTGTTATGAAGTTAAACAACATGATTTACTGTTCACTAGTTATTTAATGAAGATTAATGAATAATCCTTGACACGGTTTTTTTAAAAGGTAGATTCCATTGTCATGACCCAATAGGAATTAGAAACTGAATTTCGGATAGGTATTACAGTGAATTTATTTTTAAATGTACACAGTCCTATTTTAGATAGAGAACATTAAACTTGAATCGAAAGTAAAGATAATCAAATAAATTTTGAAAATTGTAACTTCATATTTGAGTGGGTTTTAATAATAAAAAAAAAGTATGTTTACTTAAATAATTACTAATATCAGATGAAATCATAAATTATCAGCTTTGTTTACATCATTTTTGGGATTTGTACTTTGTCCATTTTTTTTTCTCTAAAAATATCCAATTAGGGCGTGTAAACATTCCATGTTTATTTTCCTAAAATTAAAAAAAAAATATTTAAATCAAGCAATGATCATCCCTTGAATGAATAATGAATCAAAACAAATCATCAACAAAAAAAAACAAACACAGTTAAAACCAATGAGCATATCTAATGCAATTAACTGAATGGTAGAAACAATAATACGAACAGAAAAAAAAAATAGGAACGATATACGCTGCTAGTTAAACTAATCCGTTATTGAACACGGTATAATTGTTGTGATTATGATTTGTGGAATACTTTCTTATCATAGATTGGAAGTGAAAAGATGATTTCAATGAACTACAATAACTACAATGCAGTTCGGTGATTCTGTTAAACAAATTCGTAGCCGTATATGAAATTAGTCATGTGTTGATGATAATAATACTAATAATGAAAATGTTATGATAAGAAGTATGTACACTGAAATTTAATTGGTTTTAATTCAACGATTTGAAATAAACAGATTTTATCTGTTCACGTATAAATGTTTGAAAAAAAACGATCGGAATTGTACAGCCGATTTCAAAATAACTAATTAAATCACATGAAATCGAAAAAAAGAACGCTGTTATTTACTTATTTAATTGTGTTATTTCTAATGGAGCATAGGCTGCGGACAAGCATTCTTCAACCGAATCTGTCCTACGATTGCCATGACAGTTCTGTCCAAATGCTTTACAATCTTTTCTGTTATTCTGCTTCCGATTCTCAACGTAATGTGGTCTTCAGTATTTCTCTTCGTGTTCAACTCTATGGATTCTAAGTTAGGGCATGCCTCGTGATGCAGTCGGATGCTTTCTTAAATCTGTGTCCTATCCAAACTACAACCTATTTCCGAATTACTTCCTCTGCTGGAATCTAGTTTGTTCTTGCCCACTTCAAGCTGTTTCTCATGGTACATGGTCAACAGATCCTGAGGGTCTTGAGTAGACAACTGTTGATAAACACCCGTAGCTTATGCACGACGTCTTAGGTGGTTCTCCATGTTTCCGCTCCATACAGTAAACGTTTCTTGACGTTTGTATTGAAAATTTTGACTTCGGTGTTTGACGATGGTTGTTTCGAGTTGCAGATGTCCTCCAGTTGTAGAAATGCTGCCCTTGATTTTCCGTTCCGCTCCTTCAAATTAGCGTCATATCCACCTTGCTTATCAGTGGTGCTGCTCAGATATGTATGTCGTATCCATCCCGAAATTTCTTACTAATTTCTTCCTCATCTTCTCTTACATTTGCTGTGGAGTATAGGATAGAAGAGGGAGGTAATCTGAGAAGTCTAGATGGTCCAGCCGCATTCGAGCTGTTCGCCATATAACACGCTTCCTCTCAGATATTGATTCCTTCATAATCCAGTCGACCACCAGTAGAAAGAGACAGGGTGAGATTTAACAACCTTACCTGGAATCGGTCTTCACTTCGAACGAGTCTATGAGATGTTGTTCATGGACCATCATGCAGTTTAATACATCATAACAATTCCGTATGATGTTGTCTATCTCCTCTTGCAAGCTGTAGTGTCAAAGAAGCCTCCAAACTGTCACCCTGTCCACAGTATCGAATGTTTTCTCTTCATCAAGGGAGTTGATGTAAAATGGTGAATTCCATTCAATTAATTGTTCCACATCAATCCGTGAGATCAGTTGTCCTCCTTTCCAGTCTGTTGTTAATTGTTCCTCATTTCAAACATTACTGAAAATGACATAGAGTATTTGTGAAGTTACTGCTATTGTGGTGCGCGCTACTTATAAGTGGTATATGACGCGGGTGTAAACGTAATGTCTGGCAGCAGAAGATGGGGGAAGATCAAGAAAGGAAGAGTGGGAACACAATCGAACATGTATGAAACGCATGAATAATGAAATGTCAGACAATGGATTGATGATGGATTGAAGGTCTGCAAATTAACGGTTACGATATGGTTTTCCTATTTTACTGAGTAACTCTGTAATTTTCGTTAAGTACAATTCGGTTGGCCTCACCTGTGTTCTCCCTGACTACATTTGGTGTCGCTGCCTGCACAAAGGAAAGAGCTCCCGTGGCCGAAGGAGTTTGAGGAAGGAGATGTGCTAAGCTTCCTGGAGGAGTTTGAGGCCGTGGTTGGGCTGGTGAGTGTGAAGGGGCCCGGGGAGGAGTTGGTGGTGCTGGGGACGCTGCGGGGAGGTGAGGCGAAGGCTGCTTACGACAGCTTGGACGGTGTCGGCGGGAAGACGGCGTGGGAGACGGTCACGGAGCAAATAGTGACGGAGTTCGTCGGCCCAGTGGACAGGGAGGGGGCGCCGCAGAGGTTCCGGTTGGCGAGGTTGTCTGTCGATTGTGACCCACTGGTGCTGGCTGTGGAGCTCACGATGTTGCTGCGCCGTGCGCTGCCAAGTATGGATGGGGAGTCGGGGGCACAGTTGTTGGCGTCGCAATTTATCGAGAGTGTGCCTGCCGCCGTGTCCCAGCAGCGGGAACTAGTAGACGCTACACGTTGGATAGATGCCGTACCCATTCCAGACCAGCGGGCAAGAACAATGACTGAAGTGGTAATCCGGCATATTGTAGCGTGTTACGGAATACGGAAGATGATAATAACTGACCAGGGTCACTGTTTTGAAAGTGACGAGTTTAAAGGCCGTCTAAAGCAGTCTGGCATCAAGAGGATACGAACTACACCGTATGATCCGCAGATAAACGGGCTTACTGAGAGAAACAGCCGGACGTTAAAGGAATAGTTAGCGTCTAAAGGAGGAGATTGGGAGAAAGAGTTACCACTGATATTGCTGATCCCAAAGTGTGAAGGACCGTACGTTATCACGGAGAGACGCGGTGCGGTTTACACGATCCGGAGAGAAGACAAGCAGAAGGAAGGAAGAGTGGGAACACAATGGAATTTTTATGAAACGCATGAATAGTGAAATGTCAGACAATGGATTGAAGATTAACCGTTTACGATATGGTTTTCCTATTTTACTGAGTAACTCTGTAATTTTCGTTAAGTACAATTCGGTTGGCCTCACCTGTGTTCTCCTTCAATACACTATGTTTTCTCTCAGTGCCACTACTGAAAAGTTGTCTGTTCACACTGCTTTACCCACCTGTTTTGCTGTTCCTCAATGTCGCTGACTACTTTGCCTTCCTTGATTGGTTTCATGATATTAGGTTCATGAGATTCCCATCCTTTTAGAGCTTTCAGTGCTCTTTCGGACAACATCAGTACAACTCCTCGTGAAGCTAGTCTTCGTTGTCCAACCTGCATCCAATGTGTTTCATTGATTCCAAATACAACGAGTTTGTATATTTTCGTTTCCACAGCAGCTTGAATGTTTACCGACAGTTTACCGACATTGCATGTACCTGTATCGATGATATCTCTGTTTGCCAGAAGGGACAGTGACCTCGTAAGTTCCGAAGAAATCCGGCTTTCATCATGAGATGTTATTTCTCTACTAAATGTAGACGTTCCAATGGCCCACAAACAGTTTGAGTAGTTTGATTTATTTTTTCTGATCAGTGTATTTTTAGCAATTTGGTTGGTTACTTAGGCTTAGGGGTCTCTAACTCTATCACCAACCCTCCTCCTGTATCTCGACTTTGAACCCTCAGTAACCTAATGGGTGCTCCGGGCTGTAAGGCTCTAGAAATTAATTAGGTTTTTACCGCAGTTACACAGCTTATGTGTGTATTTCGTGTCGATACGGAGTGTAAGAAAGGAAAATATAATCAAAACTGTGATTCACTGATGAGTTTTATTTCGAGGTCACAGTTTTTAAGCAAGTGATTTTAATCAGGTCATCATTGGAAAACATGATTCGTTGAGACTGCTTGGCAGGGTTCACTCATGAGCACATAAACGATCGAACTCAAGATCATCTGTTCTTGTAGTCAGCGCCTAACTATTAAACATCTCAATTGGTATTCAACGTTACACATTATTAATTTCAACGGACTTAGTGAAAACAATTATATTATTCAAGAAAGATAGATTACAGCTAATGGAGGAATCGAGAATTCTCGTTTTGTCTTGGTTATGGCTCACTAGCTGGATGCAACAAACAGAACAAAAAATGCATGGAGTGTTCTATTATTAGCCGCCATCAACATTTACTAAAATGTTGTTTATCTCAACTGTATTAAGGCTCCAGGTGTATTTTTTTTTACTATGATTTCAATTTGTAAATAATTTGCATCAATGTAAACATTTGATTATAGTTTAAACTATTTGCAAATTAGACTCAGAAAAGTACATGTTCATAAATAACAACAAATATATATATATATGTACATACATACATATAAATATATATACATATGTATATATGCGTATATATATATGTATATATATATATAAACTAAAAAAGTGCAGGAGTCAGTTTAATTTTCAATGTATACTGACAAAAATAAACCCTTAGTCATAAATATTAGCAGAATTTCTTTCGAATTTTGCTATCTACTGGAACAAGAATGGAGTATATTATATTTAACAAAATGCATCACAGGCACTATACTTGGAGTATTTTCTGCCTTTATATTTCCTATATTTGCAATCATAGCTCTCATAACGAATTCAATGTTTGTTTATGTATTTTTCAAGAATAGATCAAGTATGCCAAGACATATGATCTACATGTTATGTGTCTCAGTGTCGAGTGTACTTACCGACTTCTTTGTTGGTTGGTTATGGTTGTTTCCGAGTAGAGGATTACCTTATGCAACAAAAGGTAGAATTTATTTTTCAATGCTCTTTTTATCATCAGCTTCATGTCAAATTTATCGATTTTTACACTCATTCACTTCAACATCAATTGTGAATCTTCTTGTTCTCTCAGCAATCGATCGGTGTTTAGCAATAAAAGCACCGATCAAATTTGCAAAAGTACAGCCACGTCATGCTTGGTGGGCATGTAGTATAGTGTATGGATTGAGTTTTTTAATGATGCTACCATTTGGACTTCTTGTTACTTGGCATCAAGTAAAGAATGAACGCTTTTGTTGGGTTAAACTATCAGATAAATTTCTACACATTTATCATACACTATTTTCTAATTTTGGACCAATACAAACGATCATTTTGTTATTTTTAAATTTAACCTTTCTATTATGCACACGAAAGTATTTAAAAAATCGATTTCTTCAACAATGCACAACTAATCCGTCATCGATGAATCGTAGAGAGATTCGAATCTGTTTATTAAATTTAATATTATCTTCATTTTACATTGCTATCTCATTACCACAAGCTATATGTTTATTATTAGCCAGAATACCATTACCCAGTATGACTAGAGTACACAGTGGAATAGCCTATGACATAGCTCATTTGATGTGGTCATTGAATTCCGTTCGAGAAATTGCCGATTTCATTATCTATGCTATTTATTTCAAACCATTAACTGAATTATTACTGAGCTGTTATTTGAATATCACATTTTTATTTCATAGACGCTTGAAACGTTTTATGAATAATAATAATCATAATAAAAATGATCAGACAATCATTCATGTTATTGATAATTCAAAGTAAATTTTTTTACAGTACAATTATAAATAGAATTTTGTGCTTTTCTAGTTGTAAGAGACTATTTATTTGTTTTTTTTTTTTGAGTATTTTTCAGATCTTTTATTTTTCGTCAATAATTTTCTTCTTCATAATTCCTATTTTAAATAATTTTTTACAATATTATTTTTATTTAAAGTAAATAGATTGATAGTATAGTATTTGTAATGTAGCTAATTTCATTATTTTAAATAAAGATTAGAGGATTTATATCTTGAATTTTTAAGAGTTTGATTAATGATAACATAAAGCTACTTTTTTTTAAATTCAAGCTCTGCAATAGTTAACACTCGTCAGAAAAGAGTTATTAGTCATGTACATCATAATTGACTATAATACAAATATTTAGTGTAGGATTATTTGAGACATTCTCAATGTACATCTAAGCATAGAAAATGATTTTGTTTAATTGGCTTTATAGCCGCTAAAATCGGCTTTAAGCCTTATAGATCTATTAACACACGAGGTGAAATCAAGTTAGCGCGAAAATCAACCAGTATGAAATTGTAAATGTGTGTTCGAATAGTAAATTGTTGATTAAGTGGTTTTCGAAACTACTCAGCCTAATTGTACAAATCTGATTATTTATCTGACTGTACAAAAATCATATAAAAAAATAGTATAAGTATATGTTGTTACGAGTCATCAGATTTTGGGCTTCATTACCAAACAGAGGTTAATTAAACATTCAGCTCAAATAACGAAACATCACCACAATCATCCACCTTAGCTACAAATTTTCTTCACCATCTCAGAGATTAGTTAAGGATTCCATAACAGATTTAGGTGTAACAGTGGCTATGGAAACAATTTAAAAGTTCCTTTTTTTCTCTTCAAAACTGTCTGGTTCTAGTTATAACTCAGTTTTTGGATCAGTCTACTCTCCATTATAGCTTTCTGTTTTAATTAAACTCCTGTTTTCAAGTTACAACTGCAATAGACGATGCACTTACCAGTATAACAGAAGTAAAGTCGATCATCTAGTTTTATCAAGATTTATTGATTAGATTTCAGTAATTGTTCTTTGGCACACTAAAGAAATATTTTTGTTCAAAAAATCGAATCCAGAATCAAACTCAAAATCATGAATAACTATTTATTAATGTAACTAACATCTAACTGTTGAAATAAGAGACATCTTTGTAATAGAGCAAACAGTCAGCAAGTTACTTATCAAGCTAAACTCCGAACATCATTCAAATGTCTTCTTTTTCGGATCCCTCTAATGCCAATGGTCTAATGATGTCAAGTGAAATTCAAAACTCATTGTGAAATATTTATTTCAAATGAATTAATCCCTGATCAAATTTCCCGATGTTGTTTTAAAAGAGATCAATCGTCCTAATAATTCATTTATTTCTAATGAAAGTATGAATAAATTTTTAATAATAGTTTAAATGCAATTCAAAAAGTAGGATCGATAGGTGTAAATCTTAGTTCATGAAATGGTGTACAATGATTAAGCAGTGATGAAACAGTCTGTGGATAGTCTTGAAGTCAGTATCAAATTAGATTTTATCGTAATGTCTTATTCAGAGGCCTCAAAGACTGCTTCAACTTCAAATTTAGAACCTCTTAGTTTTACAAAATTTAACTGTGTCTGTAGTACATAGATGTTTATGTTGTTACAAATGCTACAAATTTTTCGTCCAAAGAGGAGAAAGCAAGTGAGACAAAGAATTCCTGCTTAATTCGTGATCAAAAAATCAAAAATAAATATCTTAAATGTAGCATGAATAACAGAGGTGAAGCGTATATATGAATAGGAAAAATGATTTCCATAAAAAAAGAAATCATACAAGAAACAAGTTAATGGTATCGCAGTTTTACCAATGTTTTAAACAAAGATCTCACATAATTTCATGAGGTAGGTGATATGGTGAGCGGTGAGCAGTGAGCTGCACCTAATCGACTGGAGTGCAGCCGATATGAAATTAGTCGTTTATGACATGTAATCGGATTTCATTATTTAAAAAGGATCTTTTAACTACTATTTTATCAGTGATAACTTCATATTATTAGTCACCAACAAAAACTTCATGCTTACCTCATTATTTGATGACAGTGTAATAAATGAGTCGTAAAAATAATAATTGTCCTATAAGATGCACAAGAAGCATGAATTATAGTAATAATTGTTTGACTCTTTGATATGCTTATCAATAGATATGCTTGAACTATTACGAGTTCACCTTACTGGGTAAACATAGCAAAGACAAATGATGCAGTGACACGATAGGCTATTCTAATCTATTTGTCGCCATCCTGGCTAACTGTATCAAGAAGTCTTGATAAGGCTTAGAAAAGTGTATTCTACAAGCCCCCAGAAAATACAAGATCGACAAGCACACAAATCGAGCTTATTTATACATGATAGAAATGTCCTTGCGAGAGCTACAAAAATAGCGTACCAAAATAATCTATCAACCAATGATAGTTAAGGATTTTCCGAGTGAGAAATGTAGGCCAAAGGTCAGCTAAGCGGCTTGTGCGCAAAAACGAAAAATCCAAAATTAGGACTCTTTTCAAGTGAGTTTTGGGGATCTAATGTCCTCAATACTCTTCTCATTTCGAAGTAGTCGAGTGACAAGTACCATAATCAAACCAATCTTGACTTCAATCATATCTCCTAACTAGAGCTACATTAGTTCAGACATACAAAATGTACAGCTATCATATTTTTACCAGTGAATGGTTTAATCCTTAAGCTTACTTTTCCTTTCTGAACACATTTGTCGTCAGAAAGTTTAAAAATGACGTATAAGACATTTTCCGGGGATAGAGAACTACCTGTATTGTTAATTTGGTATGAGATCAATTATCATCAGACATCGAGTTATCATGGTCTGTAAACGTGTTTCAATTAGTTGCTTTTCTAACTCCAATATGAATGTTGCTTGTTGAATACTGAACTTCTGAAGACTATTTGGTGTTTGAAGATTTTACTTTGATATTCATTGCTAATCGAACATATGTAAATAATCTATCGTGTCTCCTGACAGATAATCAATATTTCCGCATCTGTCCTTTAACATTTTGTATGCACCCTTCAATTTGCATAAAGCATATTGCATAGATCATGTTGTAGGTGAATTACTTACCTAGGAAATGATTGTCACCCAGAAGTTTTATTCTGGATTAACCTGGTCAACAATCACAGTACATTTGATCCGAGTGTTAGAAACACAATTTTATACTCAAACTTCGTTTCCTACCTGAGAACAGTTGGATTAGTCAAACGTTAGAAGCAGATGGCAGATCATAACATTAACCATCAGTGATTTCAAAACTTGATTCACAATTATCATATCAAAAATCAATGGTCGACAAATAATAGTATTTGATACCCAAAAGTACAGTAAAATGTAATAGACAATCAACAGTGGGAACATTATGTAACTAGTGATCGGTTCGGTTGAGTCAGTTAAATTTAGTATTTTATGAATCCAATAAGCCCGAGGTAACATTTTTCTAAAGTATTAGTAAGGAATAATCGTTGCAGCCTCAATTTGATTATTTTTAAACATTTTATTTATTGGGTCACAAGTATCTTCACTCTACAGGCCACTAGGATATAAATAATGTGACTTGTGTAGGGTAAGTTTCGCATCAAGTGAGTAGTTTGATAATGAAATGACTGAAGTATTCACTATCTTTTTATCGAGTAGTGAATGTAAGGTGCTCTAAAAGTGTGTTATTAACGGTAACTAATTTAATTCTCATAGTTTCGAATCGACCATTGTTAGACCACCATTAGGAACCTAAAAGCACTTGAAGACCACCTCTTTCTACTATGGGACTCTTTAACAGTGCGTATCTAAGAGCCTTGCTCGCGGTAATTGAACTCAGGATCCTCTGTGTTGCGCGCGAATGCTTATCCGCCGGACCAATTAGCTGGCATCTGATGATGTTAAAGTTTAACTTCAACCGGTCGACCATATTTTGTGATCATATCTATTGTCTTCGATGAAGAACTACCACAAACCAATTACAGTTGGTCACTGGTCACAGTCTCTCACTAGAATTTCAAGAATTTCGTCACGAAACTACCCGCTGATGAGCACATTTTGCGATCTTCATTCAAATCAAAAAACAAGTAACCATTAAAATAAAGCACTTTGAGTAGTCACCATAACACCTGAATACTGCGTATTATTAACAGATCTAAAATAAAGATAGTAAAAAGTACTACTTTTAAATTTTCATGAAAATTTTTAGGAGTTGTTACTATTTTACACTAATGATAATAATGGTTTTAGTTTGTTCAAAGTCTTTACGAATGAAAACGTTAATACTATAGACTCCAAAAAGATACTTTAAATGATAAATATTGTCCGAATTTTAAAGGATGCTTAGATAACTTTAATTGGACGAGTAGTGTATCAGTGATATTAAAAAATCACATTAAATTTGTAAAAGTTACAGCGATTGAAACAACATATAACCTCAACATGAAGCTTGCTGATGCCTATTCCACTTTAACTACTTACAAAATCAAAGTAGGTTAAAAATTTCAATCAAAATCTTTTCAGACATTTTTTCGACAAACTAAAAAAAATAACAAAAGCAGATGTTACGGTTATTAAAAACTATTAATTTAATTACCTAAAGAAATTATCCTCACCTGCTTAAATTCTAGGACAGTAATAATGACAAATTTTTGTGAAAAATCACCATGGTTTGGACATGTAATATCATAAAATGTCTGAAACACGACAATAACCAAATGCTTTATTGCAAAAATTGTACCATCATTATATTTATTTGTATGGTTGATTATGGTTATGATACCGTATACATGAAAATCTTTCAAAACATAGAAATAAAATTTATAAAAACTGACTTAAGAGGAATTTTCAAAAAAAAAATAAAGTAAAATAATGTCAGGTATGTGGAGAGATAATGAAAAAAAAGATGACAAATAAATTACGCATGGTTTACAACGACGTCACAGTGGAAAAAATTTTGTCAGTGCTATCAAAATTGACCAAAATCTAATCT